CCAGCTGTTTCTAGAGTGGTCATGTGGGCGGGTGGACAATAGACATTCTCAAGTGGAATATGTTGTTCAGTTTTGTTGATTGCATCCGCCTCGTCACGGCCACCGTCTTCAAATAAGGTAGTGAACAAATCATCAGCTTGTGACTCAGTCTCTTCTTCTTCGTCATCTTCGACAATGACTTCCTCGGGAATTATGGACACGGGCTCAGCATCATTGGGATTGGCCACTTGTGAGATTTGAGATTGTTGAGAAAGTTGAAATTTTATGTATAAATCTATCGCATGTAACCCATATAATTCATGGTTGTAAAACATCATTTCCACATCATCATCATCTCGGATTTTCAATGGAACATATTTCACCTGGTTCACATCGAAATTAACAGCATTTCAATATATAATTTGTGAGACAGCTCCAGATTGCATCCTTGTTTGTATCCTCTCCCTCAAATATTCAAACTTCGCATTTCTACTTAATTTGAACCGACATATATCGGTATTTTCGAATATAATGCCCATATCATCAGAGATAAGGATCTCTCCATTGTAATGAGCATCCACTACATATTGAGGTGTTTGAGACATGATGATTAGTTAGTCAACAAGAGTTGAATTGTAGGAAAAAATTGTTTTTGAAATGGGTTGGGTTGATGAAAAATTGTAGGAGGAAGAACTGAATTTAAATGAAATATATTTTGTCTTTAGTATATATATTATAATAAATAAACGTAGGAATATTTACTGTTTAATGGTCAAACTGACAAAATCAACCCAACCGCCCATTGCATATGCGGTGGCATTAATGTGTGTAAGGGCTCCGCCCAATGGGAAGGCGGAAGCATTGATGTTGGTATAGGCTCCGCCCATTGCTCTTGCGACATTGGCAGGTCAAATAACACGCTTCCGCCCATTAATTACGCGAATGGCAGACCAAAAAGTAACGTGTCCGCCCAACGTATCAGCGGCGTGTCAGAAAATGCCAATGGTTCCGCCCATTGAGGAGGCGGATTCTGTAAAGCTGTGCATGCAACACAGTTTACATACACAACATGCATGGCAAAGTTATTACTCCCAACCATTTACTTGTTTCCATTAAATATTTTGCATAAAACCCTACATTTTTTCTCTATAAATACTATTCATTTTTTCAAAATTTACATCATACTCAATCTTTATCTGTTCTTTCTCATCATAATTCTACACCAAACTCAATTTCTATTATGTCTCTGTTAACTTACGGAGAGGAGCATCGAGGAACATTGTCAAACATACTCCAATATGTAAGTATTGAATATATTTACTTATAATTTTTTTAAAATTTTTAGAATATACTTCTGACATTAACCATATTCTAATATTGACTATTTTATTTTTTAGAATGATAAAAAATTTAGGCCTCGTACACACTCGTATGTACCCGTAGACGAAATGATCCGTCCATATATGATGCAAGCGGGCTTTGGGCACATTATCAACATAACGTCATATGGTGTTGATAGGAAATTTATTCTCGCTTTATGTGAAAGATGACGTCCGGAGACACACACATTCCATCTTCCTACCGGTGAATCCACAGTCACCCTTGAAGATGTCCACATGTTGATGGGTTTACGTGTAAACGGTTTGACAGTGAATGGGAGAACAAATGTTGACTACTCCGTAACTCAAGAACTCTTGGGTGAAGAGTTGCCCGAAAGAGCTAGAAAGGGACAATTCGTCAAAATTACTTGGCTCCGGGAAAGATATGATGCATTTGACTTGAACGAAGATTCCACCATAGAACAAATTCATAAGAAAACTAGAATTTATATTTTATTGTTATTCACTGGTTTATTATTTCCTGACACTAATGGTAACACAATACATCTAATTTATTTACCATTACTAGCTGACTTTAATAAAATAGGTAGATACAGTTGGGGATCTGCAGTTTTATCGCATCTATACAGAAACCTTTGTAGATGCGCCAAAAAAGATGTTCATAATTTTGTTGGTTGTTCAAAACTACTACAAGCTTGGGGATGGTCCAGGATGCCGAATCTAGCGCCTAGGAATCGTAATCCTTTTCACTTTCCGTACGCAACCAAGTAAGTTGTAACTACTCCTTTGTCTTAAACTTATTTACTATGTGAACAATATTTAAGTATTACATTTTTTTAGATGGTCTGCCTATGGGATGGATTACGAAAAGACTCCTCATCATTGTGCACCTGACTATCGGACTTTCATCGATCATTTCGAAGAAGCTGATGTAATATTCTTAACCATATTGTAAGTATTACATATTTTATATAGTTCGTTAAACTAATAACTGATTTTTTTAACAATTTACATGGAGGCCCTATCTAGGACTTGATGATACCGATCCGACCGATAGTCACGTGTGGAGTGCAAAAACATTTATCATATGTTTTACTACTGTTGAAATGCATCATTCTGATCGGGTAAAACTACAATTTGACATTAAGTAAGGCATACCGGATGCTCCACAATGCATGGAGGAGCATCACAAAAGTGTGGTGAACGACCAATGGGCATATAGCAATTGGAAAGATTGTTACAAACAAGAGCGTCGTCAATGGCATAACCACGAAGATAAAGTCTTACAAGGATATGTCATGTCAGAAGAATGTAAATCGAGTAAGGAATACATGAAATGGTATAAGTCTGTTACAAATTTGTATCTGTCACCAAACAATTTCTTATATGACCCTCGTAATTTGTCAACATCTTCAAACGTCCAACACACCAGACCATCATCAAGTACTTACATCCAACAACCATTCATGAGCAACCAAGAACCTTTCTTCCCAACACAACCATCTTTTACGCAACAACCTTTTTTCCCAACACAACCACCTTTTACCCCAAGCCAACAATACCATCAACAAAACCCTTCATCTAACCCCACCCAATGGGGCACCCAACAACAATATATTTCATCTAACCCCATCCAATGGGGCACCCAACAACAATATCCTTCATCTAACCCCACCCAATGGGGCACCCAACAACAATACTCACATCTTACCCAGTCAACATCAACCAGTCTACCACAAACATCACTAACACTACAAACCCCACATAATCCCAACTATCAGACACCCCAACAACAAATGCCTATTCCCCGGCCACAATAATTTACCTCCCAAGATTGTTACCAACCCTCAATAAATAGCCCAATGTCTTCTAATCCCATACCAAATTGGAATTTGGAGGGAACCAGATTAAGTTACGATAGTGCAGCCGAGACAGACTATACCAATGAGGACATGATTGAGGAATTTTTAATGGACGGGTGTGACGCGGGACCTTCAACTTCAACTCAACCACAAAATGAAGAAGGAAATCGCAGAACAGACCAACGTACTAGATGAACACCTGCTTGTGGAACTCACCAACGATTGACACGATCCGGTCAAAATCTACAGTAGATGTGTCTTGGAATTATATAATTTAAAATGAAAAAAATTAATTTATGTAATTTAGTAAAATTTTTGTTTATTTATAATATATTTTATTTAATTATAGTGTATTTTGTTTAATTATAATATATATTATTTAATTATATCAATTTAATTTAGAAAATTAAAAAAAAAAACACGGTTGTACACATCCGCCCATCCAATGGGCGGACCCTCTCTATTATTAACAGCATCCGTCAAATGCAGATGCGGAATGAAGAAAAATTGCACTCCTCCGCCCATTGTATTGGTGGATGAGTTGTGGCAACAAAAATTTTTGTTTGAAAAGAGATTAAATTGAGATTATTGAATATAGGAGATGGTATATTAAAATTTAGTTGGTAAAAAGAGTGTATGATAATAAAAAATTCATTTATTTCACCCTTCTCGTAAAATGACACCAATGCAAAAGACTCTGCAGATTGCAGTATTTTAACTTTTTCTTCTGATCATAACAATTTGCAAGTCAGTGATTTTTTTTCTCTTCTTCTATTTCCATCATAACTCACTTTTGCAGGTATTATCATAACTCACTTTTGCAGGTATTGTCCAGCTTTTCTTTGTCTTTTTCTATGTTAGATCTTGTTTTACTATTAATTGCTTTTTCTTTTTTAATTTTGATGTGATGCTTTATGGTATATATTCAATAATATTATTGTATTATTTAATTACACTATTCTAAACCAATGGATATTAATTCAAGAATTCAACTCAATCAATAATCATTAGGTACTACTCTATTTCTTTTATATAGATGTGTGTATGTACGAACCTTTATGAAAAAGAATGAATATCAGGCAAACATGTGCATATGGGAATGGACCCTTAGATTTCAAAAGAATTGTCATAGGTACTCAAAATTTAACAGCAAGATATATTTGTTTTTTCAAACTAAATTATTGGCTAATGATAAAATACTCGATACCATCCAACATTTAATCATGTCTAGAATGAAACAAATTAATCTACATGTAACTACCTTTTAACATTTTTTATATTAGTTTTTTAAAGTTATTTTTCTAACTCAATTTATATATGTTTAGAAATTTTTTTAATTATAAACACTATTGTTATAATTGTACGTATTTAGTTTTAAATCTTATAATTTTTTTAATTAGGTCGACTACTTTTCAGGAGGTGTTCTTGGAAGTTGGAAAATTATAGTCGACTAATTTTCAGGAGGTATTTTTGGAAATTGGAACCTTATAGTCTGAGTCTGTCAACTGGTTTTTGTATATAAAATTGATGTGCTTGCTTTTTGTTTTCTATTTATTCTCTCATCCACACTGAACCATATTTGTTTAACGCTTAAAATTTGATTTCCGTTTATTCTCTCACCCGGGTTCTTATTTTCACAATTTTTATTTACTTTGTTTACGAGTTTTAGTTTCTAAACCAAACAAAATATCATCTAAACTTAATCATTGCAGGTTATTATTTTTGTGTTGTCAAAATTCCGAACAAAATAAAGTTATTAGCCAAGAAATTCAATACAATAACATTCTTTTTTCATCTTTTGAGCATAATTCAATTTTAAATGGCAAAATCAATGAAAGCAAAAACAAATTGTTGCAATGGAACTCGTTCTAACAAGAAGAAGGAAAAGGAGTCAAAGAAGAAGTTGATTGATGGGAACAGAGATGTGGATCCTCAGCTATGGCATGCTATTGCTGGAGGAATGGTTCGAATTCCAGAAGTTAACTCTAAGATCTTCTACTTCCCTCAAGGTCATGCCGAGCATGCGTGTGTACCTGTCCATTTTCCTAATGACTTCAAAATTCCATCCCAAATTCCATGTAGAGTTGCAGCTATCCAATATAGGGCTGATCCTGACACAGATGAGGTGTATGCAAAACTCAGGCTTGTTCCTCTGCATATTAGCAAAGGAAGAAGGACTTTTGAATGGTCAACAATTTAGTTATGCTTTAGAGTTGCTTAAGAATGAACAAAATAGAGTCATACTAATATCTTTAAAAGATTCTATGAGCGATTTGATAGAGTGGATTCTATAAAAGTATGAGTGAAATTCTCTAGTATTCAGTTTAAGTTTTTAATTTAAAGTTTTATGTTTTTATTGACTTTTATGCTTTAAGTTGAAATTTGAGTCTTTAGAGGTATCCTAAAGTATTATATCATTTTAGTTCTAGCTTACATGTTTATGCTTAAGACATTTATATATTTGAACTACTTCAATGAATGTCTATTTGTAATTTGTAATGTTCTTGTTTTAAAACTATTTTACAGATGCCTTCTAAACAAATCAACGAGCAATCAAGAAAAGTTAAAAAAAGACGGTGTGGATTTTATAAAATATATTATGGGCAATATCATTTGCATTTGAATATCATATAAAGTACTTAATAAAGCAAGGTAATAGATTTATTTATTCTCATGGATGGATTAGTTTAGAGAAATGTTTAACACCCTAGGTGAAAGTTATAACATGTTTAGGATGAAAACTCATGTTGTATTGAAACTTGAAAAATTATTAGTTAGCAAGGGATGGTTACATCCATCCAAAGGAATGGCATCATTGGAGGCTTTGGCCATGTTTATTTGGAGTTGTGCACATAGTGAGACTAATTGAAATATCTAAAATAAATTTGGAAAATCAAAAGAAACGGTAAGTAGGAAGTTCAGTGAAGTACTAAAAAGTGTATGTTTATTAGCAAAGGAAATTGTCAAATCTCCTGATTTTAACTTTGTAGGAATTCCATAAAAAATTAGAGATGATAATAGGTATTGGCCTCATTTTCAAGGGTGCATGGGTGCTATAGATGGAACACATATTCCTGCCATTGTCTCTACTAAGGATAAAAAACGTTATATTGGTAGGAAATGATTTCCATCACAAAATGTCATGTTGGTGTGTGTTGTACCCTAAAATTTTCCCTCTCACTTATCAAGAATTTTCTCACAAGATCTCCTTGGGCTCAAGATTGCGCTAGGGTTTGATCACCTCAAGACACATCCTTAAGCAGTGATGACCAAAATTAGGGTTTGAGATTGCACAGGGATATTTGGACTTCCAATTCCCCATATGACTTTCATGGATCATTATGGACCCCCAAGATTACTCATGTCAAGTTTCAAGCCTTGGATTACATTTTTGCTCAGTCAATTGAGCAGTTGACCTAAAAATCAATTGTATTGGGGAAAAAGTCAACTATGGCCAATTTACAGTCAAACTTCATAATTTTTTTATCCATATCAACATTTTAAACTCATATGTATCATTTGATCAAGTTTGGACCATAACTCCTCAAGAAATTTGATCAAATCTCCAAAAGGGCAAAATGGTCAAAATTAGGGTTTTGACTGAGAAAGGGAAATTTCTGATTTTTGACCTAGCAAATGGTCAATTGGTTTAAGGCATGATATCAAGAGTCCAATTGCATAATTTTGACCTAATGTCATGGTTCAAAACATTGCAAGTCCATCGGATTGACAAATAAATTTTTCAGTCAACTAATCAAAAGTCAACTGTATACTGAAAAGTCAAAACTTTGACTTTTTGGTCAAATTTGTTGGAAATCCACCAAATTCTATGATGAATTTCTACCACAATGACAATTTAATTATGAGACAAACAAAGAAAAGAAGACAAGACAAATATTTCTGCAGAGTTTCTCTCTGCCCACAAACTGTGGAAAACTTTCTTAATCACTTGGAACTGCAAATTCTGTGATTACAATGAATTGACTTACTTGACTTTCTTTTAAAAATAGGGGTTACTCCCTCTATTTATAACTGAGCTTACACCCTAAGCCCAAATCCCAAAATATCTTTTTGTTATTAAGTCAAATCAAATCAAATCTATTCTGGACTTAAATCAAATCTATTTAAATCTAAAATAAATCAAATCTTCTTTGACACTATGAATTACAATTTAACACACCACCTAATTCATTGTGTCTAAACTGTCTATGTTCATCATGGCTCTTAGCTTTCTGAATACTTCGACTTGCACTCCCTTCGTCATGATGTCTGCAATCTGATTCTCAGTTCTGCAGTGTTCCAAATTCATCTTCCTATCTGCTACCTGCTCTCGAAGATAATGGAATCTCATTTCGATGTGCTTACTTCGACCATGTGCTATTGGGTTCTTTGCCAGATTAATAGCTGACATGCTGTCTATCTTCATGGTAATTGCTCCATGATTTTTCCCTGTTATCTCTTCGACCAAGTTCACCATCCAAGTTGCTTGACATGCACAAAGAGAAGCAGCTATGTATTCTGCTTCACATGATGATAATGCCACTACTGGTTCCTTTCTTAAATTCCAAGCAATTGGTGCACCACCTAGCATAAACACATATCCTGCTGTTGACTTTCGATCTTCAGCATCACTACACCAACTTGAATTAGTGTATCCCACTAACTTGCATTCTTTTCCTTTATCAACTGCAGGAAACAAAATGCCATAATCGAAAGTTCCTTTGAGATACCTTAGTATCCTCTTCACTGCTGCTAGATGTGATACCTTTGGCTTCTGCATAAATCTACTTACCATACCTACACTGTATGCTAAGTCAGGCCTTGTATGACAAAGATATCTTAATGATCCAGTAAGTCTTCTGTATTGGGTTGGATCAACATCATCTTCATCTGTATCTTTCGACAATTGCAGTCTTGGTTCTACAGGTGTCGAAGTTGAGTTGCATTCTTCCATCTCAAACCTCTTGAGAATTTCTCCTGCATATCTTCTTTGATGTATCATCAAACCTCTACCGTTCTTGTAGAATTCGATACCAAGGAAATATGAAATCTCACCCAAATCAGACATTTCGAATTCCTTGCTGAGATCACCTTTGAAGTCTTCGATCTCACTTTTACAGCTACCTGTTATCAACAAATCATCTACATAGAGACATAGTATAAGCAATTTACTCTTGCTTCTTCTTACATATACTCCATGTTCAGTTGTGCACTTCACAAATTCCTTCTCCCTTAGAAAACTATCAATTTTATTATTCCAAGCCCTTGGAGCTTGTTTCAATCCATACAGGGCTTTATGTAGCCTGTACACCTTTCTTTCTTCGTCATGTTTCACAAACCCAACTGGTTGTTTAACATAGACTTCTTCATCTAAGGGTCCATTTAGGAATGCACACTTCACGTCCATCTGACATATGTGCCAACTGTTTATTTCTGCTAGACCAACAACCAACCTGATTGTTTCGATCCTAGCAACAGGTGCAAAAACTTCGTCGAAGTCTATTCCTTCTTTCTGTAGAAATTCTTTCGCCACAAGTCCTGCTTTGTGTCGAGTTACTTCACCTTTCGAATTCGTTTTCACTTTGTATACCCACTTGACATCAATTTCCTTCTTGCCTTGAGGCAATTCGACAAGTGACCAAGTGTTGTTGTCTTCGATAGACTTTACTTCTTCGTTCATTGCTTTCACCCACTTCGAATCTTTTAATGCTTCAGCTGCATTAACAGGTTCGACATCTGCATAGAAAGCATAATGTACCAGCTCACCTTCATTATCTATTACATCATCTGAGGTAATCAAACAATCTTGCAATCTTGCAGGCATGCGTCTTGTTCTTTGAGGTCTGCTTATACTTGGTATATCTGCTGGTTCCTCTTGTCGAACTTCTCTTTCGACTTGAGTTTCTGGCTCTTCAAATAGAATTCCCACTGAATCTTTCTTGACATTTGCAGTCCAATCCCATTCTTTAAACTCATCTATGATCACGTCCCTGCTGATCACAATCTTCTTGTTCTCTGGATCGAACAACTTGTAGCCTCCTGTCGAATGATATCCAACTAGGATCATTTGACTTGACTTGTCATCAAGTTTTCTTCTCAACTGATCTGGCACATGTCTATGTGCAATAGATCCAAATACCTTCAGATGACTCAAGCTAGGCTTCACACCAGACCAACATTCTTCTGGAGTAATTCCTTCTAGCTTCTTTGTAGGACATCTGTTCAAAATGTATGTTGCAGTCGAAACAGCTTCACCCCAAAACTCTTTAGGTAAACTCTTGCCTTTCAACATACTTCTCACCATATTCATGATGGTTCGATTTTTCCTTTCTTCAATTCCATTTTGTTGTGGAGTATAAGGTGGAACCACCTCATGCATAATCCCTTCCTTTTCACATAATTTGTCGAAGTCTTTCGACACATATTCTCCACCACCATCAGTTCTCAAAACTATGAGTTTTCGACCACTCTGTCTTTCGACCATAGACTTAAACCTGGTAAATACTTCGATCACTTCACTTTTCTTCTTGATCAGGTAAGTCCATAGCTTTCGACTGAAATCATCTATGAATGTAACAAAGTATTTGTTACCTCCCATCGAATCCACCTGGATTGGTCCACATACATCAGAGTATATGACTTCAAGACTAGCCTTCGATCTGCTTCCTGCATCCTTGCTGAAGCTATTCTTGTGTTGCTTCGCCTGCACACATTCCTCACATACCTCGTTTGGAATGTCAATTTATGGCAATCCTGAAACCATATTTCTTCTCTTCAAATCTCTGATGTCTCTGAAGTTGAGATGACCTAGTCTATAATGCCATATCCATTCATCTCTGCTAGCTACAGTCAAAAGGCACTTGTGCTCCATCACATTTAGTTCAATCTTGAAGGTTCGATTCTGAGACATAGGAGCCTTCAAGATTACTCTCCCATTTGCATCAACGACTATCATCAACTTATCTTCGATTGACACTTTATAATTCTTTTCGACCAACTGCCCTATACTGAGCAAATTGCTCTTCATGCCTGGTATGTACAACACATTGGAGATTACTGACCTTTTGCCATCTTTCCTCATAATCATAACATCACCAATACCTTCAGCTGCCAGGGTATTGTCATTTGCAAATTTTACCATATTTTTCTTTGAGGGCTTTATATTGATAAACCAGTCTTTCCTTCCATACATATGTGATG